ATGGCTCATTTAAAAAGGGCCAGTCAATATGCAGCGTAGGGACGTAAGCTATAAACAGATCAATAAATCAAAGTTCTACCACTTCGGATTTTTAAGCGGGGATAAAACCCAGATGTGCACAAAATGGAAACTATAGGAAATGGCATTTTGAGTCCACTATAATTATGCATTTTAAGCATGAAAAATCATGGCTTCTAAATCATCTTAGTGTTCTTCGTTGAAAAATCCACAATAAATTAACGCGGGGGTGTGGCTCTACCGATCCGGTTCTGGGATAAGCAGTACTCGTTTTCTCTTGCTTTAGAGCTCCTAACTAAGATCCTTGCCAATGACCACACAGTGGCATCAATCAGTGATTTAGAGGGATTACCGAAAAAGTGAGGGACACTGAAATGTACATTTTTGAACCTGGCTAGAATTTTTAAAAAATTGGTAACAGGTTTACGGCTTGTCCTCTCCGACAGGGGGTACTCGGAGTCACGCTATAGTGACCTTCAAACAACCTGGTTACAGAACGGAACATGCTCGCTGTGTTCTGCTTTGGAGCTCGACGACCAAATAACTGGCTTCAGCTCTCACCTCTCCCAGGATTCCTTATTGAAATGTGAACGACTGGTGCTGAAAGTAAGGCTAAAAAATGAATATTGCAATCCATCTTGTCCTTGTTTGATTTTCGTTCGGCAAACCTGAATCATCTAGTCAATGTGAGAGTCAACGGGGATTTCTGCAGCTTATCTGGTATGACTTTTGACAGGAATTCGACAATTCGGTGGTATAACTCTGTCCTAGAGCCAAAATCTATGACTCCTTTAGTTCATATTCCAAAATAGCTATGCATTTTTAAATAGGTTTTATCTACCTATTAAGTACAGGCATGCAGGTATTGCTCACGTTTACCTGCATGCAAAAGACCAACGTTTTGCTGAAAACGGTCGAAGTGAGTACATTAAGGGCGTAGGATGGGATGGGGATCAAGTTGATATACAAGACTATTCCATGCCTACTACCAACTGTCAGAATGTTTCGTTCTTCCCTCGTCGCAAGGAGTTTGCTCATTAGCCTACACAATTGACTAACAAGATATCAGTAATTAAAAAGTACGGGATAGGAATACTTTCAGAGTTCGTAGAGCCTGGTATGTTTCTGGGGAGCTGAAAGTCACAAAAGCTCGTGGGGATATACTTCCTCGCTGTTTTGTTCACTTTTAAAGACTGAAAACGTGCAGAAAGTCCCATTTATTTGAAGGATAGTTAGGGATTTGTTTTGTGGTGGTCTGCCCTCCACGGCTGGTGATCGAAGTAGTGTCCGCCGTGTAACGGTTGCTCGGCTGGCGATAACGGTTTGACCGTGCCGAGCATAAAGAGATTCAGCTGTCGGAGAATGAGTCTTTGTGGCCGATTGCTCCGTTTGAGTGGCCGCTTAATGCAGGTGAGTGTCGTGCGAATCTTGCGTTAAAGTACCACCTTTGCCATGATCAGTATTTGCTTGCGCAAGTTCCTGGGTCCATAGGGATAAGCTCGGCACTTTGGTCTTTCCAAAGCCGGTAGGTTGGACATCTACGAGCCGATTTATTAGTTCGGCATTCGAAAGCCAGGTCTCAAGATATATATGCAGTGCTTCGACGGTAAATATTAAATTCACCGACTTAAGAGATTTCTCCATTTTGTAGCATGCATGACAACTGGAGGTTTTCAGTCAGCACATTATTTCGCAATTGGTGTTTCTTCGGCCGGCTTTGCAGTCCATGTTCGGTGATCCCAATGCACAGTAGATGTGCTAACTCAGTAAATAGTAACCGAAAGTCTGAAATGCGTTTTCGACTCGAAAAGATGCAAGGCAGAGCGCCCATTCAAATACTGATATTTTAGTGAAACTAAAAATGTTTTGCCCGTTCTATTTCTGAAAAAAGTATGCACAGAAGCTAAAATAGTAGAAAAGTAGTGTTTCATATGTTTAAAGCTGGAAATGGCAATTCCGTGGTGGTCATCTATGTGACACCAGGTAAAGTTTTCCAAACGGCAAAAAATTTCAGCCCACTTATACGAAGGAATCTTTATCTGCGTTATTCTTGCACTTTAGGGCACCAATTCGCACAGATCTGCTAATTTGACATAAAGGAATTGATAAAACATCTGATTTTCTTTAAATACCCTGTTTTTTTAGGAGATTGATAACCATGGTCAACATCGGACCTGAAATAAAATTTCTAGTCCGGCTAAATCTGTTTATTAAAACTCTCGAGGGTAAATTACTATCTTTTCAATGAAAAAGCCGCTCTCATGTATTAGGCATAGGAAATTGCACGAATATATTCCAACGTCTATTTTCGCTAAAACTCGCTGATATTTCAATTGATATAATTACGCAAACACAATTTCTGAACAAGAAAAGGACATTTCATTAAAGGATGTGAGTGAGAGAACAAATTGCGCCACGTTAAAGGCGTCCAAAAATTCTCTTATCAGTTTCCGTTATCAGACTTCATGAGATAGGTCACGAAATGTACCTATATAGGGTTGTAACACTAATCGTCGTGCAGCATAATTCCATAATAATTCGGTTACTTCAGGATGCCGGCTTTTGAGCGAACTTCTTTCCAGCCGCCTGCGAAAGCTACACTCTGTGGCATACATTTTCTCATACACGTTCGATTCCTTTATAGCCTCAAATATATTTTATGGGAAAACATGTAGAAAGCGTCCATTATTTTACTTATTTCGTAGAAGGTTACGTCTTCTTCAACTTTTGTACTTGAAGGAATAATATAATTCGGTTTTGAAAAAATCTCCCAATTCCCGAATAATTTTGAACTCCACCCACTGTTACACCTTTATTCAAGGTTTCCAACCTACAAGCTGCATATTTTCCGTGTACGAAAAATCATGCATTTCTATATGATACTAAGAGGAAATCATATGGGATCCATGAAATCTAGCAGTGGATTTGAGCCATATTGTAAACTTTAGAAGCCACATTAGTAAATGGTGTTTTGTGAACGGGTATTTCAATATGAGAAACTCTTTAAAGGCAAATTATACCCTTCCTTCAAGCACGAAATATGAATAAAGCGTAATTTTCTACCAAATGAGTAAAAATGAATATTTTTGAGCATGCTTCCCACAAAATATATGGGGGGTTAAATTGGCATCGAAAATCTATGAGAAAAATTCATACTACACAAGTGGTCAATTTTTACAGTGTAGTTTTTGCAGGTGGCCAGAAAGAAGTCCGTTCAAAAACCGGCGTCCTGGAGAAACTGAATTATTATGGGATTCTGCTGCACGATGATCAATATTACAACCCTAGTTAAACAGTCTTCTCGAGTCTACAACGCATTTAAACTTTCGGTTAACATTCCATGAGTTGGCACATCTACCGTAATTGAACTTCAAGTCACTGCAGATGATATTATGGCGAAGTCCACTCTGCAGGTTCAAGGGTCCTTAGTTTGCATCAGAGGGCTGCGGAGTGCGGCATATTATGTGTGGGCAACGCCAACACTCAGTGATTTGAGCAGCAAAGACCTCAAAGAAACCTATTGGATTTAGAGGATGACCCCCTCTCCGACATTATACTACCTCTCTAACAGGCTCTGAGCATCCTCTTTGCACCTGCTTACCTGGAAAACTGGATTTGGAATCAGTTCGCCTACCGGAGATCCTGGAAGTAGATTTGCTCAGTTTTCTCGGCCGCAGTTGCGCAATAGCGTGGTTCTGCCTACTGAAATGGCATAGTAACATAATTGCTTTTATGCGTGTTTGGGTAGTTTCATTGGAAATTTAATATATAAAACACATCGATGGTCTTCTTGAGTACCCTATCATGCAATGTCCTGTCTAGAAAGACAGTTTGGCTGACTACGTGCACCCGTATTGTGAACTGGATGACTGGATTATTTGATCTCTGTCGTTGTTTGAATTCGACGGCATAGCCCGATTTGACCGCCGCGAGGAAGGTTGGCTGATTGGATATGTAAGTGCGTGTTTTATTATTACAGCATACTGACCAATCTGATTTTGGTAAACATGCTATATTAGGGTTATGTTTCTGGTTACGGTTAAGAAAATAAGTAAATTTAGGGTCGAGGTTAAAGCTAGGCCTAAGGTTATGTCCAGGTTAAATCTCAGACCAGGGAGTGGATTAGGGTTAAGCACGCCCGTCGCATACTGTTTTAGCAAAATCTGTCATTCTGTAACTAATAACCGTGGATTAACCGTTTTGCGCCCGTTTATGCGCGCTTAATTCGTATCTTTTTAGTCGCGCAGTCTGTTCCGATACCTTGGTGGAGTAATAAAACAGACATATGCAGAAATGCGAGTTTTTCCCATGCCTTTCGCGGATTTCGTTAATTGCTGCGTCCGTTTGCCTATTGATTAAATTAATATTAACATCCTTTCCGTATTCCAGCAGTCTCTGTGATCTGTTTTCTTAATGCAATTACATATTCAATCCTTGCCGCGTTTGCGAGATAAGGAGTAGACATACGGGCAGCCGTCAAAGAATATGGTGATGTGTTGAACTTTCGCAGGGTCGATGCTAGCCCCGCAAATTTGACCAACGAGTATACTAATATTTTCCGACCCAGATACCTTGGGTTGGAAGGAGAAAAGGAGGACCTCGAAAGGGACTGTGACGCCAGTAAGTGAATACAGCATTTTTTCAAAGAAGACCTTATAAATAAATAAATAAATAAATGACAGCGGCTAGCTTAATGAAGTAACAGAACGCTGAATTATATTAATTCTGAACGGAAACGACCAGTTTTTTTCGAAACCTGACTCTAAGCTAGAATATGCGAACGCGATCAGGAGAAAACCAGTGAAGACTGGCGCAACAATCTATGAAGCAAGTCAGATCGTCGCTGCTAAAGCCAACAGAGAAGCTCAGAAGTCCCAGGTGCCTTTGATTCGTAACATCGCCACTCAACCCCACTCAGCATGCTCTAGCTGTCAACGAACATTCCGCTCGCGGATCGGCCGCGCCGGTCATCTTCGTACCCAATGCGCCAACAACCTGTCAACTGCAACTGCTGCCTCACAACCGCCTCCGCTTCAACCCCCTTGCCTACCACGACATCGCCCACCCTCACCACCGTTGCTCCGAATCCCGAAGCCTCACCGCCGACTATCATTGCCACTTCCATCATCTTTGCCGCAATCACCGCGGCGACGTCGACAAAATCCGCCTCTACCACCCTCGACATCGACCGAAACCCTTCGGACGTCATCTCTACCACCAGCACATTCAAAATCGTCACTCACACCTCCAGCGATGTGGACTCGGTCCCAACCTGTCCTCGTTGCGACCGCACATTCAACTACCTTATGGGCCTTTTCGACCACATCCGCATTTATGAAAATCTGCAGTAAATCATCGCAGACACGACCACATCATCATACATTCTCCCACCAACACATGCACCACGCGTACAACCATCCAAAATCCGACCTCACCGACACCTCTCACATCAGTGGGAAGTGTGCTTTATGGCTCTTCTCTGTGTGGCTCCTCTGTTGCATGTGAGCTCCGAGCGTTCTATCCCCCTTGTCACACCACTAGGACATGACGAACTGATAAGTCACCTGACGCTTGGTGGCTGCTCTGCCTATGAGGTGGTATGGTCGTCAACATAAAGGTTCCCAAATCAGAAGTCTGGGAAGACTGATTGCTTTGGGCAACTTTTACGGCTGAGGAAGTGCTTACGCAAAACCCTGCAAGCAGTCATCACAAGCTGTCTCTTCAGGCAAGTTGTTTTTTGCTCGTCGTTGTGGTGATCAGCTCCCAGCGCGTGTGCGCCTTCGCTCTGTTGCGGTCTGCGTCCGCCAGCCAATCAGAGAAGGGCAGCGTTCATTGGCTTCGTGCATTGGCGAGGCTAATGACAAGCCTCGCGCGGTCCCAGCATAGGATCCACAGGGACAGTGAGGCAGACAGGAGGGCAGCATTACAAAATGATGGAGGGCAAGGAGGCGCCGACTGCAACAGTGTCGTCCAGAACTGCAGTTCGTCTGGAGGTGTCCAGTAAAACTTATTGGTGCCTGAAATGTCCGATGACAACGTGGGCGGATCGGGGATGGTTGGTTGTTGGGGTAGTTGGGTTTTGCGAGCTTCGCGTTTAGCTTTGGCGGCGGTTACGTGACCGGCTTTGTAGATCACTGTGCCGATCTACATTGCCCTCCTCCAAGCCGGTCGGTCCCGGGCTAGGTCCTCCTAGTTGGCCGAGTTGATCCTCAGGCGCTTCAAGGAAGACTCCAGAGTGTCCCTTTAGCGCCAGACTTGACCTCCTTGTCGACGAGAACTCACAGTGACATATCCATAGAAGAATCGTTTGGGTAGACCCTCACCTTCCATCCGCATTAAGTGGCAAGTGCAGTTGCAATTGTCTCAGCATGGCGTGGGTCCTGAAGATTCCTGTCCTTTCCAGTGCGTCCGTGTTCAGGATCCGGTCCCGCCACCTCAGCTTCA